ATGAAAGGAACCTTCATCAGCTCCATAATGGTAGTTGTGAAAACTACCGCTGCCTGTCAGGAAGTTGTACTGGGCTTGGTTGGGGATGTCCGGTTGAACTTCTTCTTCATATGACGAGAAAGATTGATGATGGCCAGCACCTTGCCCTCCATCTTGGTACTGAAAATAGGATTGAGGATCATGGTAACTTTGGTAGGGATGATCGTCATATAATTCACCTCCACCATGGATACCAGATGTTTGACCGTGTCCAGAATGACGTCCAACACCAACGACTGGCTCGGTGTAAACGAACATCTCGGCTTTGGCCAATTTGTTGGACCACAAGAATTCGAGCATGGAATCTAGGTCATCTTGAGTGGTTATGGTATATTCCTCATGCCACAATGACCCAGTTGCTCTGTTTGGGTATCGGTACACCATACGATCTACCCTCCTCGTGCCATCCATGCAAGTTGCGTCAGTGCATATTTGATGGAGGTCTTCAAGCTTCGGTCTGGTACCGACCGTTATTTTCTGAAAATTGCCACCGACGTAGGTGGCCCCCTTTCCGGTCTCTTCCGTGTAACCATTCCACCGTAAGCCAAGCGTTAACTGACGGAATGCCATCTGCACACAAACAAACCGTAGTTTAGTTAATATCATCAAAATCACAAATCACAATAAAAAGTAACACAAAATCAACTTACGAGTTAATGTTAATGGCATAAAAAGTAACACAAGATAAAGTTACGAGTTAATGTTAATGGCATAAAAAGTAACAAAAAAAAAACTTACGAGTTAATCTTAATGGCAAACACACTAAATAAATATAGATATACAACAGAAAAATGAAAGAGAGAATGAGAGGTGTGAAGAGTAGAGGTTTTCCGGCAAGTCTTATATAGGGGAAAAAATTGTGAAAACCGCACCTCTAGGGTGCGGTTTTAGTTAGCCATGCAGCCCTACGTGCATAATTCTCTGCATGGCTGTCGGGTGGCAGGAAAATAATTGGCACGTAAACCGCACTTGGGGGGTGCGATCTACAAGGTTAAACCGCACTTGGGGGGTGCGATCTATATGGCTAAACCGCACCTTACAGATGCGGTTCGTTCTTGGAGGAATAAATCGCATCTCTATGGTGCGGTTTAGGTAGGTCAGACCTAAACCGCACCTCGGCCATGCGTTTCATGTAGGCCAGACATGAAAACGCATTGCCAAGGTGCGATTTAGGCCCACCAGATTAGAACGCACCCTCCAGGTGCGGTTTATATTAAAACGCACCTGGGGGATGCGGTTTATATGTAAATCGCATCACGAGGGTGCGGTCAATAAAAAAGGGTGCTAGTTTTGTAAATATTTTCGAGAGGGTGCTAGTTTTGTAATTTTTTTTTTTAAAGGTGCTATTTCTGGAAAAAAACTCTATAACATTACACCAAAATAACATGTCTTATTTAGATCCAACATATAGTGAAAATTCACACACATTTATATAACATCAATGTTCAACTAAGGATTCCAAAGATTGAGTTAGGCGAAAAGAAAAATTGGAAAATAGGCGCATTGCGCAAACCAAAGAAAAAATAACACAATTTGACCTCCAACCCGATACCTAATAGCGGTCCACCCGGCGAGTGCTTACGACCCATTTTTTCAACTGGTTAGGGTCAAATTGGGTCAACCCGCGGGTCGACAATCTTTATCCTAATTGATTACGATTATATAGACCATAATGCAAACAATGCAGTAGAAGTGAGGACCACGAGAAACATGATTAGAAGTTTGAAGCATGTAAATGTAATTTCTCTAATTAGTTAATTATGAATGCTTAACAGACTTTCCCACCTTTTTTCATTGAGTTAAGCCCCTTGATGAGTTAGGAATAGGATGATTACTATTTTTTAGTAGCTATCATGTTACCTACATCTTCATCCTTTATTATCAGTATTTATAAATAATGGGAATTGCTATTTTTCGTCCTAAAAATTATTATACGTCGTTCTAATTATGTTAAATTTATTATAATGTCCTTAGTTCTTTTTTGTCTTTCAAACACAAACAAATACATACACCGCCGGAGCCGGCCACCTCATTTGGAGGCCTAATCCTCGTCGTTATCAGCATATGAAGAAGAGAAGAAGTGCAGAAGGGATAACATATTAGTTTACTAAATAAATCACACAATTTATTTAGGCTAAATTACATGTTTGGTCACTCGAATTATGCAAATCTTTCACGTTTGCCACCTGAATTACTTTTCTTTCTTATCCGCCACTAACTTTACGTATTGTTTCACCGTTAGTCACCGGCCGTTACATTCCGTTAAATTTGTCCTACGTGGCAGTAACCCATAAAATTTGATGTTAACTAGATGACGTGGAAATTAAAATAAATTAAAAAATAATTTTTTTTATGGGAAAAAATTATTTTATTTTTTCACCTTATCATTAAACTGACTTTGTCTACATGATTTATCATATTAATTATTTAATAAAATTAATTAAATTACAAATATTAATTATCAACCACGTCATCTAGTTACAAGTTGGATCCTTTCGCGGTTGGGACGTACGATCCGATGAAGGATTTGTGGACTCCCGATGACCCAAAGAAGGACGTGGGAATCAGGTTGAAATACGATTGTGGACGGTATTATGCTTCCAATATGTTTTATGATCAGGAGAAGCAGAGGAGAATACTGCGACGTTGGATTAACGAGACTGATATTGAACTGGATGACCTAAAAAAGGGTTGGGCTTCCCTCCAGGAAAACAGCTGCCGCCAATGCAAACCGTTGCATAACAAAATTAAAAAGAAAGAAATGAGACAACAAATTTGCGTGGTTCAAGGGTATTGACGACCATGGGGATGGTGCATGGGGACGCTGCTTCACTATAATGAAAGCGCAGACGGCGGTGAATGTCAGCTGCGAAGAGCCGACGAGGGAAGTCACCGAGACGGGGAGGTATGTATCACGATATGCAGAGCTGGAGGTCGAAGATTGAAGAAGCTGTCCATGGTGGTTGCTGACAGAGCTCGTGGCGCGGCGTCGTTTTCCTCAGAAGCAACAGAAGAGCTGAGTTAAGACGACATCATTTCACCTAAGCAACTACCGTTCCAATTATAACTGTAGATAGCTAGCTGTCATCTGTTTATTGGTAGTTAGTTTAATTTTCCGTTTTAGTTACCGTTAAACAGTGTTTTTGGATGTACAACTTTACCTTTCTTCTTCAGTATATAAAAGGCCCTCTGAGGCACCCAAAACCCTTGCGGGTTTCATCCCAACCTTATCTTTTACCAAGCTTTCACTTGGTATCAGAGCCTGATTGGGCTTTCTAGGGTTTCTACACCCTCTTCATACCTGCATTCTTTGTTTACAGTAGCGTTCATCTACAATGGCTACCGATTCCTCTTCCTCTTCTTCTTCTACTTCTGCTGCTACTAGGGATGGCAATTTTGCCCATACCCATGGGTATTTTACTATCCAACCCAATTGGGTTGGGTATGAAATCCAAATATATGGATATGGGTAAAGTTTGATGGGTTTGTACCCATACCCATTTACTTTGGGTTGGGTTGGGTTTATAACAAATGGATTTGGGTTTGTACCCATGCCCAAATACAAATTACAGTTTGGTACCTAAACTTAATATATATGCATATTTAGTACCTAAATTTAATTTTTTTTTCATATAAGTCCTCAAAATATCGATGGAAAATTACATTTTGGCACCTAAATTTTTAGGGTCTTACATTTTGGTACCTAAAATTTTCAAGTTTTACAAATAAGTCCAATTTTTGCATGTGTAGTTAAAACACCCTCAAGTAAATGGATATCCATATCCAACCCATACCCATTTAGATAATATCCATATCTAACCCAAACCCATATACAAACCCCAAACCCATACACACATCACCCAAACCCTACCCATAATAAATGGGTCTACTTGGGTTTGGGCAAAATTACCCATGGGTGGGTAAATTGCCATCCCTAGCTGCTACCTCTGGTGTTCTTACCAACCTGAGTACCGTCACAAACCCTTACTATATCAACCCAAATGAGTCGTTAGTCTTTCCAATCAAGCTCACAAGTAATGGAAATTACAATTTATGGAGCAGAACTGTTCGTGTTGCCCTCAAGAGCAAAAACAAGCTTGGGTTTATCAATGGGTCGATTACTGCACCAGATCCATCTTCAGAGACCTATGCCTCCTGGGAGCAAAGCAACACAACAGTATACTTCATGATTCTGGGTTCCCTGGATCCAAGTTTGGTTGATAGTGTCTCTTCACAAGACAATGCGAGACTCTTATGGGAAGATCTGAGACAACGTTTTGGACAGGCAGACAACATCAGAATTATAGTTGTCAATCGGGCGGGTTCGGGCTGGGTTCAATCGGGTTCGGGTTCAAACGGGTTGCGGGTTAGTCGGGTTGCGGGTTCATCGGGTTCGGGTTCATCTTGTTCGGGTTCAAACGGGTTGCGGGTTAGTCGGGTTGCGGGTTCATCGGGTTCGGGTTCAATCGGGTTGCGGGTTCATCGGGTTTTGGGTCCAGCGGGTTGCGGGCGGATCGGGTTTCGGGTTGTTCGGGCCAGCGCATCAAGTAACTTAACTCATTACTCATTACCAACTTACACATTTTATTACACTAATTTAAAATATTTTCTCAACTTTTTAACCAATTTATTTCTACCTCGTATATATATACTTTATTTTTTTGAAAAAAACTAGTCAAAATGTTAAATCAATTTGTATGACTTGCAAACTTGTTATGTAATTAATCATAATTGGTAAAGTATTATAGCTAATAGTAATAGTGATATCAATATTTGCAACCAAAAGACAACATTAATTGTTTATTTGATATTTTAGTAGTTATTGGTGTTTTACCCCCGTCAAGAGGAACTTCAACATTGGATTTGCTATGATGGAGGGGGAAACCACAGATTCTTATGTTTGGCTTTTGAGAGAGTTACAGAACATGCTTGGAGATCGCATACCGAATGCAATTCTAACTGACAAGGAGGGAGGATTGGTTGCCGCTATCCCTCAGGTCTTCACGAAATCGGCTCACTTGTTGTGTATATGGCACATAAAGCGGAACATTGAAGCTAAGATGATGGATTTGGGGATACCACAAGAAGTTGCTCGAGGAGTGGTACATGGTTCTTGGAAGAAGGTGATGGAAGCCACCACGCCACATGCTATGATTGAGGAATGGGAAAATTTCAAAAATGGATTTTGGGGGAGGAATAGTAAGTTGATAGAATACTTGGATCGTGAGTGCTTGGAGCATAAAGAGAAGTTGGCTTGTGCTTACACTAACAATATTTTTCATATTGGTAACACAAGTACGAATAGGGTTGAATCGGCTCACTCGACTCTTAAAGCTTGGTTAAACACTTCGACTGGGGAGTTTATACATTATTTTTATCATGGCATGCTAGCATTGGGGGGCAAGTGATCGAAATTAGGAAAGAGCTAGAGACATGTCGAACAAAGACATTCAAAGGATCCTATGGACCACCCTACGTCGTTATAAGGGGAAGTGTAAGCCTATATGCGCTTGAGTTGATGTTTGTAGAGGGAAAGAAGACTCCGTCAGAATGTGATTGTGTGATTGGGAGGACACATGGGCTCCCATGCAGTTGTCGAATCAACTCCTTTAAAGGAGCGGGAGACCATTTTCAGATAACACACTTGGCACCATTCTGGTCTACTTTGGACTATGCTAACCCTCATGATGCAAGACGGTTCGAAGACAATGACGCCAATGATCTTCAGATTTTTCATGATCTAGTGGCTGAGGTGTGTAGACGTGGTCCATCTGCAGTTCGAGCAGCCAAGGTCGCATTAATGAGCCAGCTTTACCCCGAAGAGGAAGGCCTTAGGGAGCCACGAGTGTCTACGAAGGCAAAAGGTCGGCCACCTAAAAGGGAAAACGCTCGTGATCCTTCTTGGCATGAGCACGCCGCCGCACGTCAAGGTAGAAGGAGCACAAGGAGGAAGATATCAACCTCAGATGATACAGGTTTGTATTGAATAATTTGAGTTGTTTTGTTAAATTCATTGATATTTAATAAGTATATTTAATATGCCAATAAGCTAATTACAACAAAATTTTCACTAATAGGTGCCCCGAAGGATGCTACCATCCACAAAAAGAGAAAAGCAACAACCTCAGATGATACATGTTTGTATTGAATAATTTGAGTTGTTTTGTTAAATTCATTGATATTCAATAAGTATGTTTAATATGCCAATAAGCTAATTACAACAAAATTTTCAGTAACAGGTGCCCCGAAGGATGCTACCATCCACAAAAAGAGAAAAGCAACAACCTCAGATGTTACAGGTTTGTATTGAATAATTTGAGTTGTTTTGTTAAATTCATTGATATTCAATAAGTATGTTTAATATGCCAATAAGATAACTAAAAAAAACTACATCCACAGGTGGCCCGAAAAGGGATCCCATGACCAAGATTGATGGAGTGAATGTTTTTCCTTACTTTCGCTTCATCCCAGAAAGTGTCAGAGATCGATGTCTTGGTTGGTGGGGCCATGCTCCTGATGGACATTGCGGATTTCGAGCTCTTTCACATGCACTTCATGGAGATGAGGATCACCACTTGTGGGTGAGAAAGGCTATTATAGATGAAGTCATGTCGATCCAACAATGTGAGTACGCATATGAAGATGTGGGTCTTGCTCTTACACGATTACAGTGGAACAAGCCAGAGGGTACTACAATGGATCATTGGATGACTGAGTCGGATCTCGCCGTAGTTGCAACATTATTTAACTGGGCCATAATCCTCTACATTCAAATAGACGAAACCAAAGATGGGGTGAGGAGACGTGTTCCATTTGGACAAACCTTTTTACCTATGATAGCCAAGCCAGGGGTAGCTCGCCCTAGCAATGTGTTGGTGTTGTGTAACACCGACAACCATTGGGTGCGCCTTGACTTTGAGGAGGATTCAATACCAATGCCTCCATTCACCTTCCTGTGGACCCATTTCCGTGACAAAATGAGTACTCAAGGGTGGGAGCAGTTGTTCAAGGACGAGCGAGATCTTTACTTCGCACTTGGGGGTCATCATGACTAGTAGGAGATATTTGTAGTAGTATTGGTATATAACGACAATAGTTGTAAATAAGGAGTATTTTGTAACTCATCTTATCTTTATATTTGTAGTCTTTGGTAAACATAGTTTTAAATTAAAACTACCATAGTTCTAAACATACAAATAAAGTATCAAATGAACGACACTAGTACTCAAACAACAAATAAACAACATAGTTCTCAAACTACAAATAAACGACATAGTCCTCCAACAACAAATAAACGATTTAGTTCTCAAACTAGAAATAAACGACATAGTTCTCAAACACCAAATTAACGACATAGTTCTCAAAATACAAATAAACTACATAGTACTCAAACTACATGAACAACACTAGTACTGAGGTGGAGGCTGGTATGGAGTCGCCTCGTCGTACTCTCTAAGCAACCCTTGTAATCCAAGAAGAAGATCAAGGTGGTCATCATAAGGGTGCTCAATCACAGTGCGAAACTCTCGGACGAGCTTCACAACTAACTATATAAAAATGTAAATGTTAGTATGTTATTTGATAACTAATGCAATATTTAAGCTTGTACAGAATAGCAATATCAATAACATAATTAAACTTACCTGATCATGACTAAGATGGTGGTGTATCTCCTGGTCAGCAGCACTGGGGCAGACGATCCTCGGGTGGGTACGTCCCATATACCACTGTAGATACCCATCGTCGGTATCTTCCGGTTTTTGAACAGGTCTCGATATCGAATCCAACTGCACCGAGTGGCAGTGAGGGGCCTTCCAAAGCTCACTCAAGCCGGGACCGTAGGACAAGGAGTACATCTTGACATTCGCAGATCGGCAAACATCAACTGGAGGAAGCGGATCTGAGGGGATGGTCTGTACGTACCCAAACTGACGGAGGCAACGCGAGGGATCGTACATCTCCCTAACACTCATGCACCGAATGACACCAGATTACAAAGAACGAGAGACCATCTCACCAGGTCTGAGGCCGAATGGGCACCAAAAAACGAACTCATCTGTCATATTATCCAGTACTCGACGATAGTGATCCAACCTCTCATTCATCAACTGTGCCCCACCTCCAAATCTCACCCCCTCCCACTTCTTAGCAAAAGGTTCCCCGCACACCAATCCACGTGTCCCCAACTTCTGATCTCGTAAACACGGGAAGTACTCGTAGATCCAGCTCTGAAGGAGGGTCAAACATCCACCCATGCCTTTGCAATCCGCTCGAGACGCCATGCCGAGTTGCCTATACAAATAGGCGAGTGTAGCAGACCCCCAAGAATATTTCCTCACCCGTCTAGTGTCCCCCAAGAACTGGAGAGGCCAAACCTGCGCCCGATCCCCACTCCTGTCCACAAACAAGGTGGTCCCCAACAAACAGTTATTAGCAATGTTCATATGATAATTGTTAGATCTCATATAATAAATTTTTATATTCAAATGTTCAAGGTTCGTATATTTCTCTATTATAATTTAACATTCGTATATAATTTCAATTACAATAAAATTATCATCACAATATAATATTCAAAATTATAATGTATTTCACAATAAATTCTAACTTAATTTTCTTGCTTAAATTGTCTATTATAATTTAACATTCGTATATAATTTCAATTACAATAAAATTCCCATCACAATATAATGTTCAAAATTGTAATGTATTTCACGATGAATTCTAACTTAATTTTCTTGCTTAAATTGTCAATTGCAATTTAAGGTTCGTACAACAATTAATACTTTTTATGAAATAAAATTCTATATTTAAATTACTAAACTTTCTTATATTTATCAATTAAAATTTACCTTTCCTATGTAATTTCAATTAAATGAAAACATTAACCGACATAATTTTCGTATATATTAAATATTAACATATTTAAAGCAGATAATTAACCTACATAATTTAAACAGATAATTAGAGTAATTAACCTACATTAAATCATAATAATTAAAGCATATAATTAACGTACATAATTAAAGGAGATAATTAAAGTAACTTTGTAAATTGATTTAAAGCAGATAATTAACTTACATTAAATCATAATAATTAAAGCATATAATTAACCTACATAATTAAAGGAGATAATTAAAGTAATTTTTTAAATTAATTTAAAGTATATAATTAACCTACATTAAATCATAATAATTAAAATAGATAATTAATCTAAATTAAATTAAACAAAAAAAATAAAAATAAAACCATCGTTTGACCGCCGCCGGCGAGGGCGACGTCCAGCCGAGGAGTCGCCGGACGTTCTTCCCTCTCCGGCGACTCCTCGGCTGGACGTCGCCCTTGCCGGCGGCGGGTCAAACGGCCGGTCGTCACCTCCTTAGTTCAAAAATAAAAAATTACCTCCGCGAAGCGCTCTGATTTTGTCTCCGGCGAGAGGTCGTCATCTCAGGGGAGAGGTGGTCGTCGTATTTGAGAGGAAACCGGCGACGGGAGAGAAGGGGCGAGTCACGTCTCCGGCGAGAGCTCGTCGTCTCCGGCGAGAGGTCGTCGTCGCCGGCAAGAATATTTGGGAGGAATCCGGCGACAGTTGAACTGTGAGGGAAGGGAGTGTTTGGTTGGAGTTGTAACAAGTTCAATATTTTAAAAGGAATGAAGGGTAAAATAGTAATTATATTCTCCTAGGGCTACAAATAAGAAAAAGTTAGGGCTATAAATATCAATTCAGATACCCTATACCCTAACCATATACTTTATATCCTAAACAACGAACTGTCAAAGATTACTTATCAAGTTTAGTATAAATTGTTGTAACTAATGGTTAATTTATTTATTAGCCCATAAACAATTACATAAATATATATATTAGCCTTCAAAGCATATAAGAATAATTTTAACTAGTCATGCCCTCCATATAAAAGTTAAAGATTCATATTCAAAAGCTAAAATTATGAAAAACCAAAAAATTGAAAACACCAAATTTGTTTCCTTCTTTCTTTTCACAAAAATACTAAAATTTCCCTCCTTCTTTCTACTTCTATACATTAGAAAACTCAATTTTCCCTCCTCTTTCTCTTCCATAAAATTGAAAGAACCAAATTACCCTCTTTTTCCTTCTACAAAAAGTTGAAAACTCAAAAGTTTCCCTCTTTATTTCTCTTTCATAATCAAAAAAATCAAATTTTCCCACTTCTTTCTCTTCCCACATATCAAAACCACCAAAATTCCCACTTGTTTCTTTTCTAAAAAATTCAAAGAACCAAATTTCCCTCTTCTTTCTCTTCCCAAAAACTTGAATACACCAAAATTTCCCTCTTCATTTAAAAACATCAAATTACCAAATACATTACTTTACTTTATTTATATTTAATTGACAATTTTATTGAATAGTTAAATTAACCAAAATTTTAATTTATATATTATATTAATATTTTCATGATCTCAAGTGACCTTCATGTTTCAAATTTTTGTAATTTTCTTAAAGTACGTAATATCAAGTCAGTTTCATATTTTTTAAATTTCCTATACGAAATGAAAAAATAATTTTACTTAAGTTTAGAATGAAAAACTTATATTTTGAAAAACTATGTATTGTATATTTTTATAATTGTTCAATTGGATTAGATGAAATTCGGGTTGAGTCAGTCAGGTTATGAGTTATTCAGGTTCGGGTCAATCGGGTTCGGGTTAATCAGGTTGCGGGTCAGTCGGGTTGCGGGTCAATCGGGTTTGGATTAATCGGATTGCGGGTCAGTCGGGTTGCGGGTTAGTTGGGTTGCGGGTCAATCGGGTTGCGGGTCGGGCGGGTTACGGGTTGTTGACTTTTAGTCAATTTGGGTTGCGGATCGGGTTGATCGGGCGGGTTAATCGGGTCGGGCTATGTTTTGACACCTATAATCAGAATCACAGATCTGCAAACTGCCCTCTATACTCTTAAGCAAGGTAACAATTCTGTTAACCAATTTTACTCAAAAGGGTTTTGGGAAGAACTTGTGCAATTTCTTCCTATACCTGGTTGTGAGTGTGGAGGTCTTGCAAGAAACCCAGATGTTCCTTGTGTCACTGAAACTACAGGTGAAGAAGTATAGAGAGAATGAATTCGTTACTAGATTCATTACTAGTCTGAATGATGCTTATGGTGGTGTTCGAACCAATCTGTTCATGATGCAACCACTCCCATCTATGGAGGTTGCTTTTCTTTATGCTATATAGCATGAAAGACAAGTTGCTAAACCTAACCCTGAGTCACAAGTAGATACAGTTGCCTTGCTTGCTGCAAATCAGAATAGGGGTAAAGAGAATGTGAAGGAAGGATTGTTTTGTCGATATTGTAAGAAGGAGAATCATGTTATAGTTGATTGCTATAGGCTGAAAATGAAGAACAAAGAGTCAGGGGGAACTTCTAGGTTTGCAGGACAAATTCAAGGACAAGACACTGTTGGAGCTGGTATTCTGCCTAAGCCTGAAACTAAGAGTGTGCCTGAAGGCAATGATGGGTACACCAACATCAGGCTTTCCAATGATGATCTAAGTCGTCTACAGAGGCTGCTCAACCAGTATAGTCCCCCAGCATCTCCAACCTCTCTTGTTGCTCCTGGAGGATCAAACCTGGCTTCAGTCAATCAGCAATCAACTCCTATGGTCAACTCACTGAGTAGGCACCTATCTGTGAATCCTAACTTCTCAGGTAAATTCACTTTAAATTCATACTTCCTCAAGCATCCAATGGAATTTGTCAGTGTTTGGTTTCTTGACACGGGTGCCACTGATCATGTCACCTGTTCTGTTTCCAATTTCCTAAAGTATAAACCAGTCCAAGGTATCCTCATAAACTTACCTGATGGATCTAGAACTCCTGCTACACATTGTGGTAGTGTTAGACTTACATCTGAATTGGTCATTCATGATGTATTGTTAGTTCCTGCCTTTTCATTCAACCTAGTCTCAGTTAGTAAGCTCACTAAGTCCATGCCAATCTTTCTCATGTTTGAGTCCAACATTTGTCACATCCAGGACCTTCTAACCAAAAGGAGGATTGGTTTTGCCCAAGAGACTAGAGGACTCTACCGACTTACCATACATCCAGAAGACACTACCACCCTTGTTAATTCCATCAAGACTCAAAACTTAGCACCCCAATTCTTTGATCTGTGGCATTGGAGGCTTGGTCATCCTTCAATTTTTCGAGCCAAAGAACTACAGAAGACTATACCAGACATTTCTATAGGATCTTTTTCTCATTGTGATGTTTGTCACCTTTCCAAACAGAAACATTTACCATTTTCTTCAAGCCAAAATGTGGCAAAGAGCAATTTTGAACTTGTTCATGTTGATATTTGGGGGCCTTTGGCCACTGCCAGTTACAATGGATACCAGTACTTTCTTACCCTTGTTGATGATAGATCTAGGTGTGTTTGGATTTATCTCATGAAACATAAGACTGAGGCTAGACAGTTGTTGCAAGATTTCTGTGTTCTTGTTAGCACTCAATACAACCAACACATCAAAATCATCAGATCAGACCAAGGTGCTGAATTCCATATCCCTGATTTCTATTCTCAACATGGCATCATTCATCAGATGTCATGTGTTGCCACTCCACAACAAAATTCTAGAGTAGAGAGGAAACACCAACATATCTTAAATGTTGCTAGAGCTCTAAAATTCCAGTCTGGCTTACCTCTTAAACTCTGGTCAGACTTTGTTCTTCATGCAGTTTACTTGATAAACAGATTACCCACAGTGGCTTTACAAAACAAAACACCCTATGAACAACTATATGGTACTCCTCCTGACCTATCCAACCTAAAGGTTTTTGGGTGTTTGTGCTATGCTAGTACATTGACACATAACATAACCAAATTCTCACCTAGAGCTAAACCTTGTGTCTTTCTAGGCTATCCACCTGGAATCAAAGGTTATCGTCTGTATGACCTCACAGATCAGAAGGTGTTCTTCTCTAGACATGTGATTTTCCAAGAAAACATAATCCCTTGTCTTCCCTCTTATGATTCTTCTACATCACCTAATGGAAATTCCCATTGCCCTACTGGGAAAAGACCAATTGGCTGTAGATGGGTGTTCACTATCAAATATAATTCAGATGGAACAGTTGAGAGATACAAAGCTAGTGCTTGTTGCCAAGGGCTTTACTCAAATCTATGGAGTTGACTTTTTAGACACTTACTCTCCTGTTGCCAAGTTGAATTCTGTCGAGACTCTTTTGGCCATTGCAGTTGCTAAGAATTGGTCAATGAACCAGCTGGATGTTAGTAATGCATTTCTTCATGGGGATTTGGATGAAGAAGTGTATATGGATTTACCACCAGGTCTGTCTCAAGATGGATTTGTTTGTCGCTTAAAGAAGTCACTTTATGGTTTAAAATAGGCTTCTCGTCAATGGTTTTCTAAATTGACTACAACCTTACTCAGTTTTAGTTATGTTCAATCTCAAAGTGATCATTCTCTTTTCATTCATCATGGAGATCAGGGCACTTCTGTTTTATTGGTATATGTCGATGATATCATCATTGCTGGGGATGATGATCAAGGCATGACAGATCTTAAGGCATTCTTGCAATCCCAGTTCAAAATTCGTGATCTAGGCAATCTTCATTACTTCCTTGGTTTAGAGATTGCTAGATCACAAGGGGGTTTGCATATATGTCAACGCAAGTATTGTACTGATCTCTTACAAGACACTGGTTTTGGTGACAACAAACCAGTAGTGACTCCAATTGATATGAAGACCTATTTAACTGCTAATGATGGACCATTGCTTGATGATTCAACTATGTACAGGAAGATTGTTGGCAGGCTACACTACCTCACCATCACACGACCAGAAATCACCTTTGCTGTCCAACAGCTTTGCCAATTTCAAGCTGCTCTAACTTCATCTCATCTCAAATTGGCACACAGGATACTCAAATACTTGAAGAATGAACCAGGACAAGGCTTATTTTACCCATCTCAATCCAACCTTCTCTTACAGGGATACTGTGACTCTGATTGGGCATCATGCCCAGATTCGAGGAGGTCTACAACAGGGTATTGCATTACACTTGGGAAATCATTGATTATTTAGAAATCAAAGAAACAGGGAACTGTTTCGAGGTCTTCCTCTGAAGCTGAGTACAGAGCTCTTGCTCAGATAACCTGTGAAGTTGTTTGGGTTAAGTGGCTGATACAAGAACTGAACATCCAACATCCTCAACTTGTACAGCTATTCTGTGACAATCGATCTGCGGTTTACATTGCAGAAAATCCCGTCTTCCATGAGAGGACGAAACATTTCGAGATCGATTGCCACGTTGTTCGACAGTTTCTTCAATCCAAGCTTATTAAGCTGAGTCATCTAGATACAGAAAATCAGATTGCTGATTTATTCACAAAAGGACTCAGCCGACATCGACTCCAGTTTCTGATGTCCAAGCTGAACATACACAATCTGTATGCATCAGCTTGAGGGAGGCTATCACGATATGCAGAGCTGGAGGTCGAAGATTGAAGAAGCTGTCCATGGTGGTTGCTGACAGAGCTCGTGGCGCGACGTCGTTTTCCTCAGAAGCAACAGAAGAGCTGAGTTAAGACGACATCGTTTCACCTGAGCAACTACAGTTTCCAATTATACTGTAGATAGCTAGCTGTCATCTGTTTATGGGTAGTTAGTTTAATTTTCCGTTTTAGTTACCGTTAAACAGTGTTTTTGGATGTACAACTTTACCTTTCTTCTTCAGTATATAAAAGGCCCTCTGAGGCACCTAAAACCCTTGCGGGTTTCATCCCAACCTTATCTTTTACCAAGCTTTCACAGTACGCAGTTCCAACAACAGGCCTGAAAGCCCACTCGCGGCGGCAAGCCGCCTCGTGATGAGAAAACGATGGGAAGGATTAGGATCGGGAAGCCGGCCGTGACCGTGGAAGCTTAGAGCCACCATTTGTGGCTGCCATGGTTGACGTACATTCTGGAGAGCAGTTGGCCTCCAACTGTGCCGAAGGCGAGTAACGAGCAGTTTAAGAGGACCAGAAGTGTGTTTCTTCTTTCCTCGTGATGTTTGCTTGCTTCTTCGTCCATGTTAGAGATTTTCGTGAGAGTTCTGTATCACTCGTCACACTTGAGAAATGTGGAAGAGGAGATTATTTTACAATGTCCATGGGATCGAAGCAGAAATGACTTGTTGTTATTGGTAGTATTGGCTGTTTTGTTTTAATGGTAGATTATTAATTGACAAGGTGGTTTAATTAAGTTTTATTAAATAATTAATTTTCATGAAACAATTAATATGATAAATCATATAAACAAAGTATGTGCAATGATGAGGTGGAAAAATAAATTTATTTTTTAATATCTTTTAATTTTCTCGTCATCTAGTTCACGGTCAAACTTTATGGTTGACTGTCACGTAGGACAAATATAGGGATTTTTCCAATAATAGCACCTATTAAAAAAAATACAAAAATAACACCATTTTTATCAAACCGCACCTTGGAGGTGCGTTTTGCGCTACATCAGACTAGGAACCACACCTCCAAGGTGCGGTCTGTGTTTGGTGGGCAGCGGCCTTGGAGACCGCAGGATCAGGTGGCGATCTAGCGGGCAGAACGCACGTCACCTCAGCGATCCTTGCCACGGATTGAAGACCGCAGCGCCAGGCAGCGGTCAACCCTCGGGAAGTGTAGACCGCAACGGAAGGGTGCGGTTTGACCAGGGGAGAAATTACCAGACCGCCCCTGGAGGGTGCGGTCTGATGGGTATAAATACCCCCTCCCCCTAGGGATGGCAATGGGTCGGTTTGGGTTTGGCTTGGTATAAATACCCCCTCCCCCTAGGGATGGCAATGGGTCGGGTTGGGTCGGGTTTTGCCAAACCCAAACCTATGGGTTTATCCGTGAAAAAAACTCGGGGTAAAACCCACTGGGTTTGAAAAACTCAAACCCAACCCAACCTGCTGGGTATCCGCGGGTTCATGGGTATCCACTGGTTTTTGTCGTAAAAAATCACAATAACAAGTTCCTATCAAAATTAAAGTCAAATATCAATCTCTCAATACAAATTATCCATATATAAAACACAATTCTAAAAAATTTAAGCAAATCACAAATTAACTATACAAATTGTTCAACGTCAATCTAGAAAACTCAAGAAAATTTAGCAAATCACAAATTATCCATAAATAACATGATTAATTGCAAGCTTCTTCCTTTCAATTAAGTTTTTCACTCTCCACTCGATAACATCAACTTCATTCTACACAACTAGAAAGAAAAAATTAGACATGTCTCTACAAACATAAATAAGATTAGTTGTTTAGAATCTTAAATATGTCGAGATAATTAATTATATGGTTGTGGGCGGGTACCCATGGGCCGGGTTTACCTAAACCCAAACCCAAACCAACCCAGTGAATAGTGAACGGGTTTAAACCCAAACCCGGCCCAAAACCCGTCAACACGGATTTTATTTTTGTTGACCGGATTGGTTCGGGTGGGTACCCGTGGGTTCGGGTTTTGTTGCCATCCCTACCTCCCCCCCTCTCATTTCTTCACACCACAACCATTCTCCACTCTCTCTCTCTAGAATTATCTCTCTAACCCCTCCCCTCCCCTCCCCTCCCAAAAGCCTAGGAAATAGTGGTCTGTTGGTTGCGGCTAAGTCTTCTTTGGTTTTTCCCTCAAAACCTGCAGAATTTTTGTCCGACTTTCGCGAAAAAATGGACGAGTGGTTCCAAGGAGAGGGAGTTTATTATGATGAATTTCAAGCGGTACGTACTCATTATATTGGTCATTTTTGTTTTTGTTATAAGCTTTTTAATTAATCTATGTACTAACCATGTTGTTATTCTCTCGTAGGTTGGGGACGACGTGAATATATACAACCAACAGTACTATTTGGATCAAGGGCCTATTGATCCGACCGACTTGTATGACCAACCCAACCATCGTTCAAGGGATGTTTGTAACGATCACCCGGTACATACAATTCTTCATCATTTATATCTTTCTTTTATTTTGCTAATGTACTTAGTGGAATATAAAATAAATTTGAAATAATTTAATAGTATTGGTTGTTTTCAATAATTTAATCGAATACATAGCGCCATTTACTTCGACTCTTTATAAAGAGATGCACGTCTAAGGAAATGGGGTTTTAAGCGATTATCATGATCCTCCAATTTTCTGGGAAAATCGGGTATTAAGAGATCCACGGATCCCCCCTTTTTCTGTCAAAGAGGCTGCATTTCTAAGAAGATGTATATCTCTTCAAAGAGTCTAACGAGTGTTACATTGTATTCGATGAAATTATTTAAAACAACCAATACGATTAAATTACTTACCAAACAACCAATTCGATTTATGTTTATGTGTACTTAAATGAATTTTTATTAATCTCAAATGTTTGAATATGTATCTCTTTAAATTATTGTTCATTTAGAATTTTATTTATGTCAATTAATTTAGTATGTTTGTTTTATGATAATATGTATATATCTTGGAAAAAACCACAAATTACTTAAATTTGATTGTTAATAATATAATTATAATAGAATTATATTCGAAATTAAATTATTAATTTTAAGTAATTTAGTTATAAGACTAAACTATTACTAATATATCATAAATAATTTTAATAATGGTTGAAATTAAATCATAAATTTTAATTTATTTAGTTATAAGACTAAACTGTTACTAATATATCATAAATAATGTTGAAATTTTTGTTAGGAGGCACAACAAATACTCCGCTACAGGGGTACGACCAATGTGCTCCCATGGAACCCAGTCATCTTGCCCTATCTCCAAAGGGCACGGTTGGAGTCGATTAGGCATTTCGTAGGCATAAAAGTTGATCGCCAACTCATCACCGCATTGGTTGAGAGATGGAGAAAGGAGACACATTGTTTCAACTTTCGCGAAGGAGAGTGCACCAGCACACTCAAGGACGTCGCCATCCTAACTCATCTGCCTATCGACGGCAAAGCGGTGTGTGTGAGTGATCATCCCCCCGAGGATCGTGACGGTATGACCGGTTGGCAGTATTTCATCCACAGTGTTTTGGGGGTGAATGTACCAACCAAGGGGAGTGTTGATGCGACGGATCGCTTGCCACCATTGAGGAAAGGCCAAGTATCAATCACTTGGTTGACGAAGTATTTTAGGGACCATCACGATCCTGAAAAAGATGGGGTGCCCCTAACCGAGGAAAGTCCGGAGCTGGAGAAGGAAATATATGCTCGTGTCTATCTCATAGGCATGATAGGAGGAGTGTTCTTCTCCAAAAAATCGAGCAATTTAATTAGCTGTGGATGGCTTAGGATCCTCCTTGGTAGTTGGGATGTGATGGGGGAGTTGAGCTGGGCATCCGCTTGCCTAGCTAATATCTACCACCATTTGTGCAACGCATCTCTCAAAGCTGTGAGGGAGGTCGGCGGCGCAATGTTCATCGTCCAGTTTTGGGATTGGGAGCATCTGTCATGGATTGCACCGCTCCAATGTCCCGACATGAATTGGGGTCCCGATCATCCCCTAAGACTCGAAGCTTATGGTTGTAGGTAAATTTCTCATACCCCATCATGATTTTAATAACACAATTTTCCTTATTTTTTAGCTTATTTTAATTGAGTGTATTTTTATTATCGTCTTATTAATAAGGTGGGTTGGAGCCTCAACATGCGACAACCTTTCCCAACACAAGTTGGTAGAGTATCGGAGGAGGCTAGAGTGACTTTGGGAAGGAGAGGTAACTAGAAAACTTCTAAGTGCTATAATTTTTTTTCATGCAGAACATGTATTTTTCCAATCAGATTTAACTTAAGTTACTAATATTTTTTTGTAGATCAAATTCGATCCATACCCGGGGAACATCGTTCATTGGCATTTACAGCAATTCCCAGAGAATATCGGGAAATGGTGCACGAGGGTCCCTCTCATTTGTTTAGGGACCGTGGAGTGGCACCTGCCGGATCGATGCCTTCGTCAGTTTGGTCGGGAGGGAGCAGTGCATTCCGTTGGAAGTCCCCGAGAGTCAAAGGGCCTTTCACCACCGAGATGGTCGGCAAGGTACTCACGATTGGCCCACGAAGTTGGCGAAATTGATCGCAGTATGGGAGAACCGACAACTTCAGGATATTGTCACTCCAACAAGTGTGGGTCGAATGGGGTATCATGACCCATACATTGATAGATATCGGCAAACATCGGTTCGGTACGTGACTCCGAAGGGTGCGGCCGATGGTGCATTGGTAAGTATATTCCGTCTAATAAGATTAAATTTATTGCTGATTTCATTCTGTCACATCATTAGTCTTATCTTGCTAACCTTTTTTTGTGATTTAGGCTGATGGGATCGAGCGAATCTAAGCATTGACCTATGGGAAACATGAAATGGGACATGAAGATGTGAGCTTCATTCGGAGGTTGACAAACAGTCTGCTTGGCTTTATCAGAGCATAGGGTCGTGATCATCGTAGATACCCACCCAGTCTGCTTGGCCCGAATCCTAACATTGCATCCCTCGTTATGATTACGACATCTGACTATGAGCCTTTTCGTGTTGGAATGAGTTGTGTGCCATTCAAAATGCCGAGTCATTGCTTCAGTATCAATGGCGTGCCTCACCTCCTTCTTCGAGCCAAATTGTTGGCCCTTCATAAAACCAGTGAGTGGACCCTATATTGGAACCTCTGGCGGTTCCATGTCGCTGTCGACCATCCAATTGTCGTCTGGAATGTGATTGTAGTAGGAGACTGGTACACGGTCATGAGCCACCTCATCATCATTATCTGAGTCTGACTCTGGTCTTGAATCATCAGCACCTTCAAGAGGGTCGGAGCTGTCTGCACTGACGTTGTTCTCTCCTTCTTCATCGGAGGGGTCACTGATTGGTGCTGGCAGGGCATCTTCCATCTGATCCATCTCATGAAAGGCACCTTCATCTGCTCCATAATGGTAGTTGTGAAAACTACCACTGCCTGATTGGAAGTTGTACTGGGGTTGGTTAGCATGGTCCGATTGAACTTCTTCTTCATATGACGGGTAAGATTGATGATGACCTTCACCTTGCTCTTGGTACTGAAAATAGGAATGAGGATCATGGTCAATTTGGTAGGGATGATCTCCATATAATTCACCTCCACCATGGATACTAGATGTTTGACCGTCTCCAGAATGACCTCCAACGCCTATGACCGGCTCGGTGTAAACGAACATCTTGGCTCTAGAAAGATTGTTGGACCTCAAGAATTTGAGCATGACATCTACCTCATCCTGAGTGGTTATGAGATATTCTTCGTGCCACAACGACCCATCTTCTCTGTTTGGATATCGATACACCATACGATCAACTCTTCTCGTGCCATCCATGCAAGTAATGTTAGTACACATTTGATAGAGGTCTTCAAGATCGGTCTGGTAGCGACCTTTATTTTTTGAAAATTGCAAAGTATCCCGATCAAAGAGCTGACGAAGGAGATGAGCGAAAGAGGGAGTCTACTGGACGGGGTTCAATTAGCGGAAACTCTCGGAACAATGGCTTGTTCACTTTGGTGGATCATATCACGACGTGCGCTGGGATCGAAGAAAGAACGAAAAAGCGGAAATGCAAAAGAGAAGAGATTCCAGACCTAGAGCTATTTCATTTGATCGGATCAAAAATGCTTTAGAAATTTAAAATTAGAATTAAGAAATAGTCTTTTCGAAATAAGGAACAAGGATTAATTTTACTTCCCCACCTAGCTACTCTAGGTTGGGGGGTAGGACCCGGCGGAGAAGTTATAGACACCTTTCCATACTTTGTCTCTGGCGTACTTCACTTAATTTCCTCTGCAGTATTGGGGTTTGAGATTTAAGTTATTACTCAAGAAAGAAAAACATATTACAATGAAATTCTTATATTAGAGGATGAGATCAATTCAGAAGTTATTCTAACCGACAGAATTTCATTGTTCGAATCCAGACAAAGCAACAAGCAATGAAACCAAAAACAGCTAAAGCACCTAAACTATAAGACAAGTAAGCTTCTCCCGACCAAACAAGTGCACGGCGAGCCCATGCAAAGGGTTTGGTTAAGATATGACAGATTCCACCAAATATACAAATGGAACCTAACCATAAATGGCCTTCGAGTATCTAGTTTTTTTTAGTTATTCACTAGAACAATTATGATATGGATTGGAAGTCTATCCAAGGCAAGTGTTCGGATCTATTATGACATATTCGCGAGGTGCTCAACGGACATCCCGGGCTTTGAATTGAAGAAAAAACCATTTTTTGCCGTTCATTCGCATCGTATTTCAGCAAGTGTTGATAGAACAAAAGAAAGAGAAAAGAACAAGTAGAGCGGTAGAGAGCGGTAAAGAAGCAAAAGCATCCTGCCCTAAGGACAAGTAACTCGGTAAGCGCTAGGATTTAAATTGACTCATTGAAATTGAAAATAAAAGTAAACAATCGAATTGGATTCGCGTGATGGTCTCAACGAAATCGAAGACTAACTCGCATTTCTTTTTGAATTAATCGATCAATTTGCTTAGAGCATTAATATATTTTGGACTCCAAAATTTTCGGTAAAAAAAAATTGACATAATTATTTTATTTATTATTATTTTATTTATTATTATGAGAATCAATCCTATTACTTCCGGTCCTGGGGGTTCCGCAGTTGAGAAAGCAACCCCGGGACGTATCGCTCAAATCATCGGCCCGGTACTAGACACTGTTGTCTGTCAGCATTTCTCTCATAATGTAGAGTGTATCATGAGTACATGCAATGCGTAAAAAGAAAACGAGTGAACAGTCGTATGAGTGGATCCCCTTCCTAATCCAGCACAGTATGGCCGTCACTCTCACCCTTACTCTGACAGAAAAGTTTCCGGAAAACCATAGTGAGGCATCTTCCTCGAGTCAAATCCGACCATCGCCCGATTTTGATCAAGCCAAATCCTCATGTGCAGCCAGGGATGGGGGGGAGGGGGGGCAAACCTTTCAGGTTCATCTCTGCTTGGTTAACACACGAGGGGTTCCGGCCAATGACTGCAAATGCTTGGGCGAAAGGCCATGATCTCACTAGCTCGACTTTCTATCGAATTCAAAATGCCATGCTATTATTACTTGCATTTGCCCTATATGTGCAAATAAAAATCGGGCGAATCCTTACTCGGAGTAGAGTGCAAACCTAAAAGAATTGAAAACCCCCATTAAGGAACAAGAAAACGCCATCGTGATTTCACTCGGATCTTGATGAAAGACTCAATCAATGAGAAGCTAGTTTGAGAAGTTTAGTAAAAAAATTTATGACTACGTCATCACCTAGAACGGCGTACTCTCTAAAAGGCGTCTCCCTGTTTGGGTTTGCTTCATCTGCGGCTAGCCACACCACGTCCGAGGCAAGAAAAGAATTGGGCGGAAGGTCCCATCCCTGGATACCTGGTACATGGCAACAAGGAAAGCGGCTAATTGGCTCCACCTCTGAAGGCTCTATGCCAGTTCTTTGCTCTTGCCAGACAATCCTAAGTTACGCTCGCGAGCTTTTAGTATGGCCCGTCCTCTAGGCACCTTTGGATGACATGAAGACTGATTCTTCTATAAGAGAGAAGTTCAATTCTTCCATAACATAACGGGGCGGGGTTGCGCGCGAGCCGAGTGACGTAGGTGCGAGGCTCGAACCCGCAGCTTCCGCCTTGACAGGGCGGTGCTCTGACCGATTGAACTACAATCCCAGGAAAATTAGGTGTACAGCCTAAAAATTTTGATCTCTCCAAACAAGCGCAGGCTTATCGTCAAATGTCTCTTTTATTACGAAGACCACCCGATTTCATCAGTTCGGGGATATCAAAAGAAAAGAAAAAAAATATTTGTCTATTCTGTCCAAAAAAAGAGGAGAATGAACCATCGTACTGTGCTCTCCAAAGAGCAACACTTCTCAAAAGGTGCTGAGTTGGAATCCCATTCTAACTAAGGATTCTTGTGGTTCCGGAAAGGAGATTCCGTCTCGACAACCACCCTACCCGGGGACTGTCAACTCTCCCAACAACCCATAATGTCACCACTTTCATCTTAAAGAAGTAGCTTTCACCCCTCCCCGGATCCATCTTTTTTCGAGGAGGAGGAAAAAGAAGTCCAATACTATTTATGGAAGACTAGGAAAGCTTGCCACAGTGCTACAAGGAACAAAGCAAACAAGCAAAGCAAGAGAGCCTTTTCCCGGAACGAGAAGGTAAGGAATGTCTTTTCCCTTTACAGGTGCGAAATAAATCTCAAACTCAACTCCCACTCTTGCCCTAAAATAGCTATTCAGTTCTTCAATTACCTGCTTAAAGTCGTCACTTTTGTTATCAGTTCCGGTGCGTAGACCAAATAATACAATGCAAGCAAAAGTTCCTAGATTCATAGAGATACTCGCGCTTACCTGCTGACAACCAATCCTTTTCCAGTAACCATTCAGAGTGGGAGCTCGGATCTATGGTCAAAGGAGGGAGTCTATTAGCAGAGCTTCGATAATCGGGTTCTTGCCTTTCGTTTTGACTCGAGCATTTTATCTCCCTCTCCCTACTTCCAACCAT